GCCAATCCATGTGTGAAAATGATGTGTCATGCTCCCTGAACCACGCTTTCACGATTTCAGCCCGATGAATCCTGCCATTGTCATCTTGGAATATGCCTGTGCCATCAGGGAAGAAAAAGTCCATTGATGGAATAACCTGGTCATTCAGTATATTCAGGTAGTCAGTTGACCTCATTCTTTGAGCACATACTGTTGCTGAGCCTAGACCTGACCAACTGCAGCAACCCCAGATCATAACACCGCCCCCACAGGCTTGTACAGTAGGCACTAGGCATGGTGGGTGCATCACTTCACCTGCCTCTCTTCTTACCCTGATTGGCCCATCACTCTGGAACAGGGTAAATCTGGACTCATCAGACCACATGACCTTCTTCCATTGCTCCACAGTCCAATCTTTATGCTCCCTAGCAAATTGAAGCCTTTTATTCCCCGGTTAGCCTCACTGATTAGTGGTTTTCTTACAGCTACACAGCTGTTCAGTCCCAATCCCTTGAGTTCTCTTTGCATTGTGCGTGTGGAAATGCTCCTACTTTCAGTATTAAACATAGCCCTGAGTTCTACTGTTGTTTTTCTTCGATTTGATCTCACCACACGTTTAAGTGATCGCCGATCACGATAATTTTTTTCCTGCCACATTTGTTCCTTGAAGATGATGGGTCCCCACTATCCTTCCAGTTTTTAATAATGCGTTGGACAGTTCTTAACCCACTTTTAGTAGTTTCTGCAATCTCTTTAGATGTTTTCTCTGCTTGATGCATGCCAATTATTTGACCCTTCTCAAACAGACTGACATCTTTTCCATGACCACGGGATGTGTCTTTCGACATGGTTGTTTAGGAAATGAGAAGCAAGTCATTGCACCAGTTGGGGTTAAATAACTTGTTGCCAGCTGAAAGATAATCGCCTATTTGTGTATTTGAATCCACCTATTTGTGTATTTGAATCCAGGTGGCGACTTTTTTTTTGGCCAGGCAGTGTATATTGTAATGTTATTTATTTAATCTACAATGTAATTACTGTTGTAAGCTTTATGTAATGGAATTTCATTCGGTATGCACTCTGTGCAAAGAAAATGACAATAAAGTTTGCCTAAGTCTAAGTCTGCAGCTGGAGACCATCTCCCCAGCTGCTCCTCTGAGGTAAAGGGGATGAAGAGGAACCTTGTTTCTTCTGGAATCCACCAACATGTCCTCAGTCTTCTTCACAATGATATAGAGGTAATTGTCTATGCATCACTGCACCAGGTATTTAACCCACTCTCTTTATTTTGACTTAGCATTGTTTGTGATCTGTCTCACTTCTGCTAAATCATTTGCAAAATTCACTATATAACTGCTGGGATGTCTTGCCATGCGGTTAAATATCAGCAGAGGAGGCTCAGCATTGGGTGTAGCCAGTGATGGGGGTAATGGATGAAGAGACAGTGTTGTGGATCCTGACAGTTTGACGTCTGATGATCAGGAAGTCAGGACCAAGTTCCCCAATGTAGAACTAAGTCTAAGAGACGAGAGCTTAGGCACTACATTGTGTTGGCTGAAGGTGTCTAAGGCCAGAGATAAATTATCCAATTCCATGAAGAGCAGAAGGAGGTACAATTCCTGCTCTCCAGATGGATGAGGGCTGTGTGGTAAGATTGGGTCAGAGGTGGATCAGTTCCACCTGTAGGTGTACTAAGGTGGATGACGTTGACATCCACAGTGACATTCATGGAGTCCTTAATGTGGGTCATGACTGTCCTCTCAAAGCAGTAGCAGACTTTAAGCAGGTTGGGATGGATGCCAGTGACAATAAGGCGTTTAAGATGTCTGCCAACGCCTCAGACAGCTGGTGTACACAGTCCCTTAGTTCCCACCCTGAAATGTTGTCAGAACCTGCAGCCTTGCAGGGGTGGATTCCCTGGAGAGTCTTGCATACATCTTTTGTGGTCACAGAGGGGGGGCTGGGATACTGATAGCAGGCAGAGAACCAGTCAAACGCATCTGCCATTGATTGGTCCCTTGGGCATTTTGTAGTCTACGGTTGCATGTGGCAGGCTGTGTATATTTTTATGTCACATTATTGAAATACCATGAACTTAAGCAGATGGGGACAGTGTTGGTTGGACTTGGAAGAGGGCACTGGATTTGCATGTTCAAATGGGGCAAAGATGATTTAATTCAGAAATAAGAGATTTTGGATTTAATATGTTCCTTTATCATACTGGTTCTCCAGCCTTTGAAGACACCCTTTCACAGTGATGGAGGATGCCAGCTGAAAGCCTTTGATTTTCATCGGTTAGGTATTTTGAGTGAGTATTTTTAATCATTTTCATCATAGAGTCTGAGGGAAAAAGTTAGCATTTTCATGTCACATATTTCTTGTATAATAGTTGTCCATTCGTTCAATATTGACGGGGTTCATTTAGTTTTTAATACTTTTCTATCTACATTCATTAATGTTTTACAAATTCAATTAAGTGATATAAATATACAGTTTGAAAGTTGTAATAATTTTTCTAACTCATTAACTCTGTTTCCTTGACTACTTCTGACAACTTAGAGTGGATTAAAGGGCAATCTCCAAAATGTTGTAATGATCCACAATCACATCAACGCATTTTCTACTAGACTGTCCAGATAAGCTCTTCTGGTCTGTAAAGTTGTTTATTTTGTGGAAATGAAGAACCCAGTGATGTTATTTCCTGAAAACTCCCTTTGTTCCTAAACTATTTGAGTTATAGTTGGTTGGTTAGCCATTCATTTTCTTACAATACTGTATGTGTTTTTAATATAAAATGTTCAGGATTTTATTGTAGGATTTGAGGCATGAAAATATTATTCACACCCAACGTTGATAGATTTTACCATCATAAGGATCAAACGTATTCTTGTTCATATCTTCTAATGTTCTAATTAAAATAGTGTCTTTGTTTTTCTCTCTGCTTTTTGTCGTCATATTGCTACATGTGGCCTGGTGGTGTACTTTGTTTTCAACCATCATGGAGGGAGGTATCATTTGAGCTGCTGCCATCACTAACTTCAGTCATAGATTATAAAGTTGGGCCTGCTTTTCAGTGTTTAGTCCTGTTTCACCCCTAGACAAAGCAAAGGGCAATTTAACTGCAATTAACTGTATGTGCTCTTTTATTCCCTTTGTCATAAAAATGGTCTCAGAATCCATCTGCTTAACTATACTGAGCTATGCTGCGTACAAGGCATATCAGTCAAAAAAGCAGTGAGTGGAGCCCTATTTCAAAGACAGGACAAACAGAGTTAATACAAACAGCTTAGTAATAATCAGGTAATTGTGGATGTGATGCAAAACTGTTTTAAATTCTGTTAAAATTTAATGAACAGCTCTTTTAGGACATGACGAATGGCATCAGTAAAATAATGCTCCATTGGAACTGCAGCCTTTACTGTAGTACTTTATCATTGACCCACCTCTCACACTGTGATTGGTACAGTATGTTTTAGAAATATGAGTATTGAGCCTTACCAGACCCATATGCCTCATGTAAGTCAGGCTGCTGCATACTGCTGCATTCAGACCTGGCACGTTCTGGGCGTCAAAGCATCTGGTTTACATGCAAAGTCTATGGGGGACAGCGACAATGGGTCCAGCGACATGTTCGTGCGAAAGGAGCGGCGCATTTCGAGCATTCCAGCGTCAGAGCATCCGAGCGTTCAATGATGGATTTTAGTAATTAAAATTTTTGCTGCTGGATGCTGGAGTGTTAACCAATCCAAAAGATTATCCAAGAGGTTTTTGGGTATGCTTGAGGTCTGGCGCTACCAACTGCATTTTTTAAGCCGGGCATACGCTACAGTTCAAACTGTATGACCAAACAGCAGGGTTTAAAAGTTCACAGCTCATGATGTATGGTCTCACACTGTGAGGCCCAACGCTCTGATGAGATCTACCTGCTCACACAGCACGTCCGAAAACCACGCATCCGACTCAGCGCAGAGAGATGGCGCTACTCGGACTCATCAATCTGAAAGAAGAACAATAACTCCCTTGTTTGCACCAGCACCATGCTCGAGGTTCTGGTAAATCGGCTTGTAGGATTTGCCCACGGCCACCTTACGACAGCCAACTGAATGTAACATGTTTGATTTCCTCCTGACCTTATGATTCCTGATCGGTAGGTGATCGTAAGAGTCTAATCGCCCCTAGTTACCCTTCTGTATACTACACGATGCAGGAGGCACTGAGAGGCTAAAACTCGGCCCGATCGAAAAAATTCTCACACGACTTGAAAATCGGCCCGAAAAGGGCAAAAAAATCGTACAGTGTACGCCCGCCTTCAGTGGTATCACAATCCTTATGACCAGAGGATGTTTGGAGAAGGACTTTCTCGCTTAAATAGTGTTAAAACTATTTTTCCAACTCATAAAGTAAATTAAGCCAAGTTGCTCTCTAGATTGAAGCTACAGAACAGAGCAGAAAAAAAAACCCCAGAGTGTTGAAGCGTCAAAACAACTTGACCACAGTTTGAGCCAGTGTCTGACCCAGTCCAGATTTCTGAGTCTACGCATTTTTGACTCCCATAATGCCTTCGGTTTGAGCACAGCATACATAATTGTTTTTTTCCCCAGACAGAGCCCCCTATAAATCTAGTTTATCATTACCTTCTCAAACATAGTTTATGGTTCCTCTGTGGTCCTTTTGTGTCTCCTTGAACCCCAGTCGGCCTCAGCAGATGACTCTAGTTCTGCTGGAGGTTTATTACTGCTAAAAAGAGGGGTTTTCCTGTCCTCAGTCGCTACATGCATACTCAGTGTGAGGGGTTAGTGTTGTCTATGATTCTGTGTCTATGTATCTGTTGCAGCTTTTTTAAAACCTGAGTTAAATAGCTCCAACAAATTTACACAACTTCTCTATATTATCACAAATATCAGGTAGAAAACATGGGCGAAGAAAAAAGAAACCTACATCTTAACGAGCGTGGAAGTGTTAATAGCCTGGTGACGAGTGAGATGGTTAAATGCGGAAACAGAAGAAATGATGCAATCTGGTAACCAATTTAATAGAACATTTTATTATGAATATGGAACCTGCAAGATGGTCAAAACTGGGTTACAGAAAGACAACCATGTATGTGACATGTTCTTCCAAACAGATGAGAAATTAGCAAACTTTAAAAAAGAACAGAGCTATAAAAAAATGAAACGTACAATTTTGATTTGCAGCGTTATTTATGATAAATGAAAATGTAGTTTCAAAATAAGATCAACACATGGCAGGCACTCATAGTTAGCATCCGTTTGTCATGAGTTTTTAACCCCTTACAAGAGGAAAACATATACACAAAAAATAGAAACCATAGTACCATAGTTTTCTCTTTTTTAATATTTTAATTTGTTTGTATTTAGAATTTTATAACACTGTTAACACTGATAATAAGAGTTTCCCGCTTTCCCGTATTTCAGCTACTTGGCACCAGGTTCCTCATAAAAGAATCTGTTTAATTGTACAAGAAATAGTTAAAAACACAGACACAGTTTCTTCACAGGTAAATGAGATGACTTTTCAATATTTGAAAATTTGAAACACTATGTATTTGACAGCAGCTGTGATTAAGGTTTTTTAGGGTTTAAAATCACCAGCAAAGTTTTCATTTTTCGACAAAAAACACAGAAAAAAAATTTAAACAGCTTGAAATAGCTGTTTGGTTTTAGTTACATTTGGGTGTATTTCTTGGTTTCATTTGTGATATGTCTCCCAGTGATCACTCACTAACACTAGCATTTTCTATATTATTAAACGATTCCCTTCAAAACCACATAGAGAGATAATGTTTAAATCTAAGGGAGCGTGGAAACAAATTGTTCCTGAAATGACAACTCTGAACATTCAGCCATAAACAACAAACCAAATTGACTAATATACTGGCTGACTCAAATCAAATATTTATTTTTCATGTTTTGCTTACTGCCTAGTATTAATAGCAAGACAGTGATTCACCATAATAGACAAAAAACACTGCAAAATATTTAGAGATGTAAAGAAGTTAATTAATCTTAGTCTGCCTTCATTTTATCCTTATAAGCATAACAGAAAAAAAGGATTTAAAACCATAAGAAAACAACAACCATTAGACTAAAATATTGTTAAATTAAACAAACATGGGTTGTTCACAGTAAATGGGTCAGACGTAATTACTAAACATGCAGTTCAGTTTCCAAAACACCTATAAAAATAGATTTATAGTGAGAAAAGATTTCCTGCTGTTAATATTTATAGAAATTGTTAAAATATTTCTTTTTATTCGTTTCTTGAAAGACAATGCTTGATTTTCTCCCGTCAAATGAAACCCTAAGTTGGTTCAATCCCCAACGAGAAATTCAAATGGGAGTTTAGGAAGATTTGGTGCAAACCACTGAAATACACCCAATGCACAAAAAAAAAAACCCTAAAGGAATTCTGGGAAATGTTTCACAGTCCAGGATTTTCAGTTGGGAGTACAGTATATCTAAAACCGGTCATCTGATTTTCCCTCATCATACTCTATATTAAATGTTGTTTCTCTTGAATAAAATATTTGCTTTCCATTTTTTTGTGCAAGAGCAGGAAACCCATCCCAGAAATCCTTAGAGGTAAATACATGGCTCCATAAACCTTTGAGCTAGTTAAATACTCTTTTCATCTCTGAGAGAAAAGACAACAAGATAAAGAGGTTTGAATAAGACTACACAACAGCAAAAAGCAACAGTCGAGTAAAAGAGAAGAAGGATTAGAAAATAAAAATGCAATTTTACAAAGACAGAAAGAAAGCAGCAAAATTAAATGGTGGTCTCAATCAATTTTTACTTGTGTGTTTTTTTCTTTTTTCTTTTTTGCAAAGGCCACCAAACACGAAATTTCCACAACCTCCACTGGGTTCACTAAAACTGCAGATAGAGGGAAACGGAAGAGAAGGAGGAGGAGGTAGAGAGGCAGGGTTGTCCACTTTTGGGATAAAATTCATCCAACAGATAGTTTTTTTTCCGTCTGACCCCACCTCCTCTCCTTCCCCACACTAGAGATAGAGCACAGAGAAGACAAAGGACAAAAACGGCTACAGTAGCTCAGTATATACTGCATATAGTCAACACACACACAGAGAATTTGCCATGAAAGACGTTTTGACAGCCAGTGACACTAAACACATCGTAACACGTTTTTACGGATTAATCACACTGGGTAATAAGATGACGGGATGGTAAAGACAGGCTGTCAACTTTCAGAAGATAGACACTGTGATAGCTTATTACAGTTTGATTTATTACTTATGTTTTTTTCTCTTTTACCAAAAAAGTAGAGGAAAATTACAAATGAGCAAGAATCACAGTGCTTTTCAAACACCAACGTGTGAAATTAGCATTTCTTTTTTTTCTTTTTTTTGGCAAAGGAGGCAAGGGGAAGAAGGACACAACCAGAGCAAAAGCAAAGATAAACTTTTTTTTATATAAGAGGGATTTTCCCTTTTTTTGTTCATCTAAACCAAAAGTAAATCCCACTTTTACTCCCCATATACATTGATTGTTTGACAGATTGATTGAAAATGCATGTCTTTATTACAATCTCCTTATTGATATGTTGTTTTTAATCACAGGGTCTGGTGATGAAATGGAAGAGAGAGGATTGTTGAGGAAAATGTTGTGGAGGTGATTCTGGTTTAGGAAAAAAAGGCGAAGAGGAAACAAAATTAACAAAAAATAGAAAAACAAAATCCTATAAAGGTTGTTAACATTCGTTTTTTTTTTTTTTACTTAGACATGTTAGGTATTTAGGCTCAGTCCTACAGAGAATCAAAAATGACTCTTTTATCAAGTACAAGAATAGAATACAGCCTAAACATGTAGTGATCAACTTCACTTTGTTGTGTGCAGCTGTCCCTTGTTTTCTGATCGATCAGACGGGGACACAGTGAGGATGCTGCTGTATTCAGATATTCCTGAAGTTTAGTAATACTTTAAAACACTCCCTCATCATAAAAAGAACAATAATCAGTCTATCAGCGAGCTGGGGGGGTCAATTTACAATACCCACATCAGCCAGCTGAATCTGGGTAAATGGACATTTGATAGCACCACGAATCTGTAGAACAGCCAGATAAAAATAAGGACAGTTAAAGGTCAGAGAAGCAGAAGAAAGACAAGAAAGCTTGAAGGACTGAGATGGGAGTAGATGTAGTGGAGGTTATGTTTGGCGTGAGACCTGTAGGTAAACTCCTCAGATAAATGAGGAAACTTGTAGTAACATTCGATAGTTCACAGGTCATTACCCGGCTGAAATTGCTTTTTTTTTGTTTTTCTGTATAATATTTGATTTCAAAGTTACATCTGAGCTAGAATATTTCATAGAAAGGAAGAATTAGAAGAGCAAAAAGCATTGATTACTGTCCCCTCAACCAAGAAACATTTGCAAAAATCTTTTGTCAAAAGATCCGAGACAGCTGACCTCTCCTCTCAGGTTAAAAACTTTTTTTTTTAGCCTTGATAACATCAAGATACATAAGGAGGAGAGGCACAAAACATCTTATTTTCTATGTGTCACAAATACCTGTACCAATCTCCTGAAAGTACACAATCAACATCTTCATAAAGATGCAACCCAAACAAGTGGTATATTAAAATGATCCCTTCAGGCTCCAGTAGAATCCTTAGGCAACATGAATTCTCAGTAGGCAAAAAGGAATTCTTCACAGTAAAGAACTGCTGCTTTTTTTCTTTTTTAATCTGTTTAAGACAAAAATGTCACTGATTACAATAAATGGAAGAAAAGAGAGACCAGTGAGGAAGAAAAACCATAGAAAAGGGGTTGTGAGGGCCGTCGATGTCTTCCACCAGGTCAGTAGCTCAAAGTGCTTAAGTACGTTTGTCGTTTCCTGTCCCTTGCTTCCTCTTCAAACACAGTGCTGCCCCATGTTGATAAATTCTCTCTTACTATTGTTACTACTGAATCTTTGAGTTCACACAGTTGTTAATGCTTAAACACAGTAATGCGGTCATGGATGTGTTTCATTGATCCTCCTTTCTTTCCAGCATTGTCTGCGTAGTATGGATCCCGTTACTGTAAACAGGAAATGGCAGCGTCGAGAAAAGTCCCTCTGCTGTGGTAAAAACATTGGCTGTCGCTGACATATGGCCTCCCAAGGTGCCGTTACCCACTGTGGGTGCTGGGGATCCAACAAATGGGCCTCCAGCTGCTGCAGCAGACATGTTTAGCCTGTGAACATGATGGTAGAGCATCTCCATTGGAGTCTTAGGGTCAAGACCAAACCCTGAGCTCTCGACAAAGTTCATGGCAGCATTGGGAAGGAGATTTCCCTGTGCCATGGCCAGAGTGACGTCTGCTGGCGCATACCTTATGGTCCCGGTCGTGTAGACGCGTGGAGCTGTGGTGCTGGTAGAGGACAGAGATCCTGTGACACGGTGAACCAGTGGAAGGACGACATTCCCGGCTTGCAAACGCTGGAGTGCTTCAAGATCCCCAGAATACAGCAGCGAAGAAGAAGAGCTTGAAGTTGCAGATGAGGAAGAAATCGAGGAGGTTGTGGGTGTGCCTTGTTGCTTGTCTCGAGGAGATGCAGAGAGGGGAGGGGAAAGGGGGTCAGCAGAGGAAGAGTTTGAAGGAGGAGCTAAGCTTGTAGCACTCAAAGAAGAGGATGAGGTTGAATTTCCATTGTAAGGGAGCTTTCTCAATCCCCCTGCTGCCCCTTCAGGTCCAGGAGGAGTGAGGACCGAGTCAGGAATGGCGACCTGGAGAGAGCCACCCTGTGGTGAAGGAAACGTCTCCTGACTCCCTGGACCGGAAGGCTTGGAAGTCATACTGTATGGAGACTCGTTTCTAGAAATCTCTCTGTTGGGGGGGGTAGTTCCAGATGCTGCTGTCATTGTCAAAATTTATTGGCTCTGCCATTTCTGTCTTGATTTTTAGAACAGAGGATGTAGCCTCTGTGCTGTTTGGAGAATCAGAGGAAGCTAGCAGCTGTGTTGAAGCGACGGAGGTGCCCCCTGAGGGGTGGGCCTGTGGTGTAGAATCACCTATTGCTACAGGGCTGGGTGGAGTTGCGGACATCCGAAGCCTCCTGCTACGCGATCCATCCCATTTTTGCACTTTCCTCCTTTTCCGTCTCTTCTGAAGCTTGCTGCCAGAACCAGCATCATCACACCTTTGTCTTTCTCTATCCTCTACCTCATCAGCATCCCCATCTTCCTCGTCTTCCTCCTCTTCTGATGAGGAAATTTGTGAGCCGTGGAGTTCTTCCTCTCCCTCTCCATAGTGCTCCACCTTGATATGGAGTCCTCCGAAATGACCAAGTCCACTGATGGTATTCAGTCCCTCCAAAGCTCCCAGGCCAGATAATCTCCCCAATCTGCTTTCCAGTCCTCCTCCCTCTCCTCGGGACACCTCCTGCTCTTGCTCTCCATCTGTGGGCTCCAGACTGTCATCACTGTCCTGACTTTCAGGGTTACTTGAACTGTCTCCTTCATCATGGTCCTTTTTTTCCTCAGATGGGCAATGTGATTGACCAGGCTGCTGCTGACGCTTGCTTTCCGTTTCTGGATCTTCTCTGTGTTCTGCTTGGTGACCTGTCTTTCCTTCAGACTTTGCATTTTCGTTGTCTGTTAAAGAAAAAAAATATGATGGTTAAATGAAAACAAAATTACAGAGAAAAGTATTTACATAAGAGGAGTACACCTCCTCCGGCTCCAATAGTGCCTACTGCCTGTCGTCTGACTGACTGGGGTTTCTAATATAACAATTTTAGGATTTATTTTGGTATTTATTTAGACTGCGGCTGTAATGATTAATTGGACCCACTTTCAATCAACCTAACGGTAAAATTCAAACTAAATCAATAAATATTTTAGGAATTGTCATGAGGTCTGGTACATATCTGTTGAAATATATATATATATATATTAGGGATGGAACGGTTTATGAAAACTGTCCGAACCGTTCAGTTCGACTGTCTCGGTTCGATACGCGTGTGTTGCGTTCGGTTCATGCGCTGCTCCTTTTTCTCATAGACGAAGCGTTTACACTCCAGAGCAGAAGGTGGCGGTACTGCGACCAAAGCCAACCACCAGTAGTAAACAAGAAGAAGAAGAAGTGAAGCAGCGTAGCCGGGTGTAGCAGAAAAAAATCAGTAGTTGTGGAGAATTGTGTGGGTATGGCGAGTGGGAAAGAACAGGAGTTGGAAGACGCGCCAGCAGCACTTTATAGGTCTGCTGTATGGGACCACTTTGCATTTAGAGTGACCTACGATGACGGCGGAAAGAAAGTTGTGGATAAAAGTGCAACAGTGTGCAAGCATTGTGCAACACGTTTTGTTTATGCTAACAGCAACACGACCAACATGTCAGGCTAACCCCTAAATCCCTCATACTCCGTTGCGCTCCGCCCCGCTGCGCTCCAGACCGCCTGCACAAAGCAAAGCCTACAGCCTCCGCTGTGGCTCCCGTCCGCTCCGCTCTGAGTTCCTTGGAGATCGTAGAGGGCATGCGAGAGATGATTAAATTCAAAGCGCAAAACATGCAGAAATGATCCAGGGTTTCCACGGATCATTAAAAATAATTACAATTCATTAATTTTTTTGGATTTTTTCATTAATTTCATACATTTTTATGGGATTTCGGTGTGACAACCAACATATACCGAACCGAAAACCGTGACCACGAAACCGTGAACTGAACCGAACCGTTCCACCCCTAATATATATATATATATATATATATATATATATATATATATATATATATATCTATATATATATATATATATATATATATATATATATATATATATATATATATATATATATATATATATATATATATCTATATATATATATATCTATATATATATATACACATATATACATTTACATATATGTATCAGACTTCACGGTATACATTTCCAGTTGTGCTGATGACACTAAACTATATTTGTCCATAATCCTGTTGAAACTAACCCATTACACTGAAAAAAAAGGAAATGTAGATAAGTCATTTTTTTTCTTTAAAAAAAGTGCATTTGTTCTTGGATTGAGCAGGTAAAGGAGACATTTTGCCAATGGAACAAGACAATCTACACTTAAAATAAGAAAACACTATTGCTTTGTCTTATTTCAAGAGCATATTATCTAATTATCTTATTTTGAGAATAGAAATGCTCATTCCATTGGCATATCCTCTCAATTACCTACTCAAATTAATGGTAAATACACTTAATTTAAGAAGTTTTTACTTATTTCTAGATCTTTTTTCTAGTGTAGATAGATTAAAGGGACTCTAAAATTTGTTATTTTAAATGCATACCAAACAGAGACAAAAAAAAGTTGATCAGTCAGTAAATCTGGATATTATTTATTGGTCTCAGAGAATCATTTAAAAATCCTTTATGTTTTTTGTTATGTTTTGGTATCCCATATCAAAGAGCTTTTTAGAATTTCCTTCTTTCATCTCATCAATATCACAAAAATTCTAGAGAAAAAGGTCCTAAAAAAAAAATGTGTGATGGCCTACCTAATCAAGCAAAGGAGCAGCTATCAGGACCCTACTGTCTGTTTGTCCCTTTCTATTTCTTTCTCTCTTTCCTCTTTCTGTTTCTTTCTGTCTATTCACAGATATATATATATATATATATATATATATATTAGTGCTGTCAATCGATTAAATTTTTTAATCGCGATTAATCGCATCAATGCCTGAGTTAACTCGCGATTAATCGCATTTTAATCGCACATTTTTTTTCCTGATTGAAAATCATTTAAATACTCTGGATGACATACAAAAAAATACATACAGGCTAGGTTTGTGCCAATGTTCTTTTTTTAAAATGAAAACAGGTCACAGATACTGATTTATGCCATAGAAACATATGGCAAGAAGATGGGGAGGCATGTAGCAAAAAATAACAAATATGTAGCCAAAAAAAAGGCCCTGAAAACAGGCTGATGTAAAAGACAGTCTTTACAGTTAATACAGTCTTTTGAACAAAGACAAGCATTTTACCCTACTGCTATAAAATTTAGTAGAATTAACATTAGATGTTAATTAACCAAGGTAATAATGAACAATTTTCAATCAATACATCAAAATCAATAGACCAACATCACTAGATGAAGGTAGTCTATGCTCTCTAGAAAGTTACTTTTCAGCCTCTTAACAAAAATGAGAACACACACACACCCACTCACCCACTCACCCACACACAGACACACCCACCCACACACACACACACGATACCGACAAGAGTGCCGTAGCAGATTCCATTTCACCTCAGTAATCTGTTTTCTCAGCGTATTTCAGGTTGCTACTAGTTACCAGACACTCAACTTGTTTGTTGGTGGTGGGGCTTAAAGAAAAGGCACTAGCGCCACCCAGTGTATGAGCGTCTTTTTTCCTTGAGGAGCTCCGCTCTGGAAGCCTATGAGAAATGCATAGACTGGGGGAAAATAGCCCCGCCTTCCCGCAGGCTGCAGCGGGATGCACTTGGAAAATTGTACCATAAAACCACATAGCGTTAATCTCGCGTTAAAAAAATTATCGCCGTTAAAATGGCCTCGCGTTAACGCGTTAATAACGCGATAATTTTGACAGCACTAATATATATATATATATATATATATATATACATATGGTTTACATACATACCAGAGTTCTCTTTGGAGTCAGACTCAGAGTCGGAGGTTTCAGAGGACTCCGATGCTTTCTCTGGGAGATTTGGCAACTGGGCAATATCAATAGGTGTGTCTTTATACTCAGGGTTACTATGAAGAAAAAAAAAAAGACTTATTGACAATTTATTGTCAAAGAAAAAGGCTTTCATTTGATCATATATGTGCACTTTTACGAAAAGAAAATGTCACAAGTGTTTTTAAATTCTACTCAATAATTAAAACCTTTTTTTTTTGCAACCATTGTCATATAATTTCCAAAGTGATCTTTTTATTGCTCACCTGAGGACATAGTTGACCCAAATTATATTCTTCTCACTGGAATTCTTTGCGTTGATGGCAATGGTGGCACTGGACTGGATCCAGATGTAACCACCATTCTTCTGGATCCATCGATAATACTTTGTAACACACTGACCTTTATTCATCACTAAAAGGAAAACGAAAAGAGGAAAATGATTAGTTTGGTTAATCTTTTATGCTAAACTTGGCAATAAAATTGTAAGGTAAAAAGCACTGTCAACTTTACAGAACAGTAAATATTCAGTTGGACAATCACACAGACATGTTAATTTTTACTAGGATCTTGCCACATTAAGGATTAAATATAGTTTGAAAACTACACAACTTCCCTTCATAGTATTTTCAAGCTGAAAGATGATATTTTGTCACAAAAAAAAAAGAAGGGAAGGTGTTGGACTAAAGGAAAAACTTTTATTGAGGTGAACCCTACTAAAACATGGCAACTTTGGTCCTTCCGGTTTGAAACCTTTTCAATTCAATTCAGTTTATTTCTATCGCTCCAATTCACAAAACAAGTCATCTCAAGGCACTTTACAGTTCACCAGATCATACAGTCAAATTAATTCAAAGTTTTATATCTAAGGAAAACACGTTGATTGCATCAACTCATTGACTCACAGGCAATCCCTCACACTAAGCATGCTTGTAGCGACAGTGGAGAGGAAAAACTCCCTTTTAACAGGAAGAAACCTCAAACAGAACTAGACTCAGTGTGAGCGGCCATCTGCTGAGGCCACCTGGGGTTCAAAGAGACAGAACAATGCAGTCAGCTGGTTGCAGTCAGCTAGTTTTCCTTAGATAGAAAACTTTGAACCAATCTGATCCACCCTCTACACTTATAAAAAGATGCACATGCAGAACCCTGTACCCGCTCCCAAGAGGGAACGCTTATGAAACGCGTGCAAGAGCATGCACGAGGCACGCTCTGTTTAAAAGAGGCTGTTTGCATGGCTCATACAAGCCTTCATTCCAAAAGAAGATTTACAATTTTTCTATTATGTCAGATTCACCACCAGTAAGTGTTATGGGGACAAGCACGTAGGACAGCCTTACATAAACAGATCTCCAGAATGACTGACAATTAGGAGGACAACTTATTTTGTATACAACCAAACCAGGTTGGGTTTGAGGGCCTGAATGACTGCAGATCTGTTTCTCTGATTTTCTAATATCTCTCTGGGATTCAGTAAACTTGGATCTTCAATTTCCCCTTGATTACCCAAGAACATACACCAGAATCCTGTTTGTGGACTTTAGCCAAGCTTTCAACACCATTAACTCAATCATCTTCCAACAGAAGCTCACCCAGCTTAGGGTGCTAGGTTCTACTCTCTAAACTTTAGGGAGTGGATCATTATTATTCCTTCCTGACCAGTAACAGCAAATGACTCAAGAAAAAGTGTTTTACTTAATAAGCAACAACACTCTGACTTTGGCTCTAGGGAAAACTGATACAATCAGCTGGTTTTCCTTAGATAGAAAACCAATCTGACTGTATGATCTGGTTGAATTTTCTCTGTAAAGTGCCTTGAGATGACAGGTGTTGTGAATTGATGCTATATAAATAAACTGAATTGAATATATAAATGTAAAGTTTTAACCTGCTATTTTTTATTAAAGGAACGAATACTGCTAAAGTCTAAAATAAATGCAGTACCTCCTGCTCTCCACCAGACATCGCTGTGCCACTGCAACAATCAAGTGCCTCTTTGTAAAGGTGGCTGCCAAATCCCCCCCCCCCCCCCCCCTGCAAAAAACCCAAACCCTGCTTCACCCCGAGACAGCACACGGGTAATAAATTTGGCTAAATTAACCACTAAATGGTTATCTCAAGCAATATGTATTGGCATTAATCAGGAACCGCTCAAACAGAAACAGTCGGAGACGAGAAGCTAAGGCCTCTGAATTCATATCCCGCTCCCCAATTTAATTACTGACACAAATAGGCTTTCCGTGACAGAGAAGAAAGAGAGAGAAAGCGAGAGCTGATTTATATAAAAAGAAGGCCAGTAATTAAAAACTATTAGAATCTAATAGCATTGTTTAAGAAGACATCCCCAGGGCTTCAGTAATTGACTTTCGTTGGACGGCTGGAGCTTAGTTTTTCTCTATTTGCCTATTCATAAGAGGGGAGAAGGGGAGAGAGACGGAGGGGAAAATAACTTGTCTGCATGTTAAGGTAGAAATAGTGAGATCATGCCACCTTCAATGTGACCTTGTTTTGTTTACACAACAGAGTGAATAACAGCACAGTGAATACACACACACATAAACAGATGTGTGCACTAGCATGGCAGTGGTTCCTGTTTAGATGACGGCTGGTCCTCAGAGAGGAGCTTGCTGTATTAGCATGCCCAATGGAAGGGGTCACACCCCCTCCATCTAATCAGAGACATGGAAGGTGCTACAACCACAGCAGACAATTTCTGTGGGTGAAATTTAAACATAAGCTCAGGCAGAAAATAACAGTGGAAAGAACCATGATAGGTGGTGTTAAAATGATTTCAAAAAAGTATTCTATTCTTCATCAGCTTGTATTGAAAACATAACCAAACTCATTGACTCCTTAACTAGGATAGACATAGAATCAACAAAACCAGATATTAGGAAAAAAACATGATATTGATGTGACTAAGATAGGAAAACACTTTGGGTCATATTTAAGATAAGATTAGAATATTCATATAAATATAGTTATAGCGTGATGATGTGATCATGATTTTATTCTGGATTAAATCAGAATAATTTTATAAAAGTCTCACCGAAGATGAAGCTTTCAATTGTATTGATCAGGGCCTTTATAAGCTTTCAATAAACAAAGTGACAAGGGAGATCAATTTAAAGAAAACAGAGGAAATAGGCTCTGAGCAAACAACATTACATCTATACAACTGTCTTTGAAGCTATTACTGAGTATAGCTGCCCTTCCTCCCTAAGCTGTGATGACACGCTACTTAGATGAGGATCTAAAACCATATATTCTACAGATTTGACCTTTCACACCTCACTCCCACCTAGAGATGGGAATCAAAAACCAGTTCCTGTTCAGAACCGGTTCCTTGTGTTCCAATTCCATGGCACCGTTTGGCAGCTCGCTTAACGGTTCTCTTAACGATTCCAGGCAGCACCAGAGCCTAGCGCTGGGCAGCACGACTTACGTCACGTTTTCTACGTATGTTACATCACGTTTTTTTTCCTCGCAAGTTCCGCACATGACATTCAGTAACCCCTAGAACCCTACGGACCCACCGGTGGGTCCAGCTGCTACGTGACCTCGTAATTTTAACAAACCCCCAGTATTGATGTAAAAAACACATTTGGCACAGTTTGGTGACATTTATGGATAAATGTGCCAAAATGGCCTCTCCGCCTAAGAAATTTCTCACTAATACCGTTCTAAAATTAATATGATTCATCTGATTGAGTCCAAATTTGGTATATTTTTACACAACATTTAGATTTAAAAGTCTGTACTACTTTTTGTGCTATAAATAATATTTGGGTAGTGTTTTGCAATGTTTATTTCAAAGAAAATTTTGGCGAGGTTCAAAAAATGCAAAATATTTTGTATTTTGTCCCTAATATTTCAGGCAGGGTCAAAGCTACAATGGTGCTGACACCAGAAAACCATTCTATGACATCTTACCTTTACAGACGTACCAAAGTTTCTTCTTAAATCTAATAGCTGTGAGGCTATAAGTTATTTACTTTTGTGTGTTTTTGTCAGGCAGAAATTTATTTATACCCCCTTAGGGTGTAAGAGGTTAAGCAAGTACGACGTTACCAGGCTTAAGTCTAGAAAAGCAAAACAAAAACAATGGCGTCCCATTGGGTAAACTGATCGAAGGTTTGGATGTAAAGTAGCAATAACATCTGCAGGAGGAAATGCATCCAACATGCAGGAACACCTGCGCACACAACATGGCATAAATTTTAACGAATGCCATGTTTTGGATGCTTCCGGACAGAAGCTAAAGTTACGACCAGCATGGAAGGCAACTCTGGTGGTAGGTAGCTAGTTTTATATCACTGGCTGTGCTTAATGTGGTTCCTAGTAAATCTTATGCCATTTTTGGAAATAAACCCATTTCCTACCTCTCTTTGGGGTTATTAAACATGCCACAAAGTTGCTCCGAAGTTCAGGGAGCCAGAGAAAGGTGATGCTCGTTCATTTAAATCAGGGGGAGATGAGTTTATTTCCCGAAATTGTACAGAAATACTTTTTCATTAAACGGATGTCTTCTCCATTAGATCTAGATGACTGTGATGGGATGAGTAGCCTGTCTGGCTCAGAGGATGGCAGCTCCCGCTCACTGCCTTCTGTTTTCGACGAGTCAGGCAGAAATAGAATGTCCCAGGCGAAGGTAGACGAATGTGACCGTGCACTTACCAAGTTCATTGTTTCACAGAATCCATTAGGATAAGGAATCGAATCATTTCACAAAATCGATTAGGGAATTGGAATCGTAAAAATCTTATCAATTCCCAACCCTACTCCCACCCTAAAATAGAAGCTGTATTTCTATTCGAAATAAGAATTTTAAGAAAACTTTTAAAAGTAAAAAAAAAAAGGAAATGCTTATTTGTTTCCATTTGGTTTGAAGTGATTTAACCTACGTCGTCGTCCTTACCACGTCGTCACGCATTACTCTAGCACACAGGAACTAGAGGCTGCAATCTACACTGACTAGAGATCAGTAATGGAGTAAAGTTTTGATGAATGTGTTGCTATTGGGGAACTTGCTCTTCTTTTTTACATGTCAGGTAACAATAGCAGCGTTGCTTTCAACCATGTCTGCGTCTTTTATTACCTGGAAAGACGGCAACATCAGAAACAGCTGATCAATCATGTTGGTAAATGTGTTCATCATCTTCCCGTTTTGGGCATCAACCATTTTTCAAAAAAGCCAAGCACCAACTCAAGCACGATTAAAAACTTTTTAGCAAACTTTGAGGAGTTTATTCTAATTTTCCATCAACCTTTTCTGATGCAATACTTCAAAATTCGCATCAGAAAAACCTGATGGAAACTCATCTACCTCCTCTAGACCATTGCCAGCATTACAGGTAAAAGACGAAAAATGTTAGTTCCAGTATCCAGTATCTAAATTTGAAAATAGCTCTGGG